ATCACGTAAGCTACAGACAGTATTTTATGTTAATCCAGCAATTGGAATGGTATTGGAAAACATCAACAGACAAAACGAATTCGTCCCTTTAAGTACATAAGTGATAATCGAAATCGCTGTATATAGAGTAAAATGGAGAAACAGTTGAATGATATGTTTCTACCCCATGCCCCATGCCCCACGTTTTTCAGTTAAAGGTAAATATCGTATTTCGACATCGAAATTTCCATGCATTAATCTTTAAGTTATTAACTTAAAGGAAATTTAAATTACAGACTTTATAAAAACACAGCCGCCATTTGTATGGTTCAAACGAATTTTCTTCCATCCGCCGAAGTGTATTTCACTGAGCTCTCAAATACCTGGATCGAACTGTTTGTTTTCAATTTCCTTCAAAAATTATTGCTGTCTGTTTATTTGTGTTCTGTAAGGTCGAGGGCGTAAGAGCAGCGCGTAGCGAGGCGTTCAGTTTTTTTTTCAATTAGAAGAATAAGTTGATTATAATAGCACTGTATACATACTCTATAGCTAAATAGTAAAATGTGTTGCTTAGAATTGCGATAAGCGTGAGAAGTCTTGGATTCAAATCCTGGGGATACAATATATTGCAGTACAATATATACAACAGTACGAAACGCCGTTGTAGTTCGTAATTTTAATGTTATTTTTGCATCATCTTTAGTATTCGCGACGTAGTAAGTACACTTTTGACGGTTTGATACGCGAATTATGTTATTTAACTTATTTTAAATTTTTTGTAAATACGAGACAATCATTGCCACAAGCATCCGAAAAATGGAGCCGTAATTAATTATAAATTGTACAAATAACTAATATCTTCTGAGTTTTCAACTGTTTTATTTAGTTGTAAAATTTAATTTAAATAAATTCTATATAAGCTACCTGATGTATTTGAAAATATTAATGATGCAAGCGTTAAAGCTTTTTTAAAATACAATTAATATAAAGACAATCTCGACAATTAAATTAGTTTTAATTTTTTCATAATAATTAATATTCCCATTTTCTATTTCACTTTATTTTATTCGCCTTCCATTATGAATGTGACCTTAGTCAAGCCCAGATAGGTGAATGGCTCGAACAATATAATCCTTTGGGTACTTTTCTAAATTGATTTTAACGAAATTGGAGGAAAGTCACGGAGTTACGTTTCATTTATATTTTACGCGCACATTTAAAAGGGGTACTTCGTGATTGATTACTTAGTTTATACTTATTTGACCGGATATTTTCTTTAATTGCGAGTCGAGTTATTTTGAACATTTATTTAAGGTCGTATTTTGTATTTGTAAGTAACTAGGTATACTTACGAACGTCTAGGTATAACCTACACTCAAAATTTACATTTACTAACAGTACTCAAATGAAGGGTATAGAACGATCGCGAAGAACTGGCAAGAATCTTGCCGCCTCTTCCTTTTATCGCTAAGTTTCATTTTACAGTCTTCACTTACTTTATGTGCAGTACATATTTTTCCTTGATATGTAGGTCGTTGCTTTCTTCCAGTTTTGACAGAAAGTAAAAGAAGGTAGGTCTATTTTCCCCGGTTCCCCCCCCCCCCCCCCCCCCCCCCCCCCCCCTTTTTTTTTTTTTTTTTTTTTTTTTTTTTTTTTCTCTTCTTTTTTTTCCCTTTTTCTGGGGGGGGGGGGGGGTTTTTTTTTTTTTGGGGGGGGGCGGGGTCCCCCTTTCCCCTCGCCCCCGCGCGCGTTTAATGATTTTTAATTTAAAATGCCAGAATGTTGACAGCGTTGTAATAGTGTACAACTAAATATACATATATTGTTACATAAAGAATATTACATGGTTTGGTTACTGGCGTTGTTGCTTAGGCAAAGCACAGGTGACATGCCCGTATATAAAATTGATCAGCGACAAAGATATATAAATGTCTATCCCGAACCCCACATCAAAAAATCGAAAGTCGATTCCCAAATCAATCATTCTCGTTATTTATTAGAACTTGTGTACAAGCCGATGCGTAATCCGAAATTCACGAGCCGACTAAGCGGGATCAAACGTTATCAAAAACACGCCCAAGCTCAATATAAGGAGGTTTGGTGGCTGTCAGGCGAGAAATTAAAGGTCCGATATCTGTAGGCCGTCTCAGTGAAAACCTTTTTCAGGACCACTTACCAAATATCGCGTCACTGAACGCGGGGCGCGTTATCTTCAATCATTCAGAAGTTAATTGATTTCTGGTCATTGAAAACATCTGATTCAAACACGGGAAGACGTGACTTCATTGACTGGTTCATGTTAGGCACAAAATTATATAACCAGCAAATAGCTTCACATATAATATTTATATCAACGTTATAGTTAAGAAGTTCCTAACATTTTTAGGAACGAAAACAGTAAGTAATGTCAACTTTGTGTTTAAGTGCTATTTTACATAGTTGAGTCACTAATCAAATTGTCGGGCCCGAGTAAAAATAATTTAAAATTAAGTTAATAATTCGCGTTTGAAAACGTTAAATGTTTGCTATTGGAACTAAACAAAACTTTTTTAATACACACACGTTTTGTTCTGTCTGACGTTATTTTGTTTTCCGTCATATTTCATTTCTAAGAAAATGTTTGCTACCTATGTTACAAGCATTATGATTACGAATCGTTTTTAAACTGTTCCGATTGCGTTTCGCTGTCGTCGTGCTTAAGTTAAACCAAAAGCCCTTACTTGATCCATTCCTTTATATAACCCAGCGGCTAGCTCAAATGGATGTCAGCTTGTGTGGTAACCCGTCACTCCTAAAAGGACTGGCGTCAATTAACACGTCTTGTTAAATCTTGGTATTGCTGCTTAATTGGCATTGCATAGTGCAAGTTTACTTGCTCCAATAGCTGTTGTGTGACCAATTTAGCTTAAGCTTAAGGTCAGATCCGGTGAGCAAACAAGTTCCCGTCGAGGCATCCTGAGAGGCTCTTGATTAATCTCGCCGAGATGGCTGGAGTTTAATTAAAATGGGATTATGTGGGCTGCATACGGCCTACATCTATGAGACGTACAAGAGCACCCTGTATAGTAATTCTTTGTGATTTTGGCGTTTGTCTTACAGCTAGCCAGCAATGTAATGATAATAACCAACGGTTCCTATGAGATACAATATGTTATCTTCTAATTTATAATATTGGTGGTGGTGGTGGAGTGGGTGGCAGGAAAATCGAGCGCCCATGACTACCGATGGAAGCCGTGAAGTTTAATTGCGTTTCAGTTACAGTCTGGGGATTTCAAATATCTAAAGCCAAAGTAGGTTGATATCGCATCTGCCTCAGACGTTATATGGTTCTTCACTTTTCACCCGTGAACCTTATCTGTCTAGCTCTTTGTTAGAGAAAGAATGACATTAACAAACGTCACCATTGCTAGAGGAGACATTCTCGGGGAGCGTCACCGGCCGCTTAAAGATCCTCGGGTAGCGATGAAATAAGTGCTTAAAACTCGCTGGGAAACCAATTAGAAGTCATTTATCTAGTGCGACTTTACGCATGTTGTTATTTTTTGTTACGAACATTAACAACATATAAGTAATTCTATTTATAATAAGCCTTATATTATATATTAGCCTATTACAATCACTAATTCGATCATAGCGCAGCTAAAAAAACCTACCGAAAGTTAAAATTTTCTTATTTACATCCTTATTCAATCCGTCAACGATTCTAATTTCTAAATTGCATCAAAACAATTTAAATCTACTGTAAGTGAATTTGTTTGGTCGGAGTGGTTTAAAATCTTTATTGGTTACATAACACGTTTCGTTCCTAAAACAAGACAGTATTACGCTTATTTAAACTCTCATTAAAAACGCATGATCTACTATATCACGTTACAAAAAAGGTTAAAACGAGAGGACCGAGTCCCACAATAAGAAATACCATTCCTGCTTCATTACCTCGTTTGCATAATCAACAAGACAACTTTTAATCGAGTTACAGTCGTACAAATCCAGTATTACTTTGTTAATTCGGTGTATATCTGTCCACTGGCCTTGTTTTATTCGTCGCAAAGCCTGTAAAGTATATTGGATTTCTGGCCTAAATGTTTGCGGGGCATAAAGAGAATCACGGTTTTACGCATCAAATCTTTGTAGCGTTTTAGCCACTTTTCCTCGTCACTTATATTCGCCTGGCGAACCCTAATGTTTTTCCTTGGGCTAATAATTTGAAGGATAAGGGCTTAAGCTCCCCGAGTCACTTAGTTCGGCTGCTGCCCCTGGGATCGACTTTACCCTACAAATTGAGTTGCGCGAATTGATTCAGTGAGCATTTACGTATTGTATAATGGATACTAGGAAAAGTAAAAAATTTCGGACTAAACAAATACGTCACACAAAAATATCACTATTGTCTAAAAACTTTAACATTTTTCACAAGATGACATTATGTAAATTAAAAATCTATTCTGATTGGAAAAAATACGAGACGGGCGGGATTTGAAACGGCATCTACAGCGTTACGTGCTGTAGCTCTATCCAATTCGATTCGAAGCGTAACCTCAAATGGTTAGAGCAAGGTCGAGCTCTGCCCGCGACGTACATTGTTTTCGATTTAAATAGATTTTTAATCGTTACTGTCGTCAAACTATTCAATTTGTATGGAACAAGTATGCGTAGATAATAGTTTTCATCAAAAATTTGTAACCTAAAAGTTACATAAACATTTAATACACATCATATCTAAAATGGACGATTTAAAGATAAATAATAATTTAGTTTTTTATGTTGTATATAAAATGTATCTGATAGATGAATTGTTGAGAAAAAGAAAACATTCTTTCTGGCGTTCATAGTTCATTATTCAACGTGGTACCCCAAATAGTGAAAAAAAAATGTCTTTCTAGCTTCTATCTAAATTTGTATGTTTGATAAGGCCTATCATTAGGATAACCATATTTTTGTATCCATTCCGGATCAATACAGGCTATTTATGTAGTAACAACTTTTATTAATAGGCACTACTTGTACTATATGGTACTAACCAGTTCTTTTCTCCGGGTCTCTGAAGAGTACGTCTTCTAGTGGTGTAGGTGGCGATCGACCCTTATTATTTACAGCTACAGCAGCAAGACGGAAGCGCACATCCCATTCTAGACCGCGAACTGTCCATACAGGCTCGTCGGATGTCAGGTTTATCCTGACAAATAAAGCGACTTGTAATTAATTTTATTCACAATAAGATTAATAAATTCAAAAGAAAATCATATGAATGTCTTTACACAAAACATAAGAAGTTATCTTAAAAAATTTCAGATTCACAAAATAATGTTTCTAATTAATTAAACTTCACTAGAATATGTTTATTTTGTTTAAAAATAAATTTAATATCATTTTCTTAAAATACTCATAAAACTAAATAAAACACAGGGAGGACAATAGAAATACAATCTTACTACAGTTCTGCATCAATTTAATACAATAGAGGTGTTTATTTGTTGTAAAATTAAAAAAGACATATGAAATTAATTTCTAAGTAACTTTCATTTGATTAATTTATTTATTTAATATTTAGAATTACATAATTATTCTGCACGTGCTTCATTAACTTAGCTACTGTGCGCGATATGGAATGCCGTGATAGAAGGTGCGACTCCTGCCCGCGTCAATATTTATATATTAGGTATTAGTATTACAATATGAAGTCGTAATGTATGTTTATTATTAAAGTGTATATATGGATAAAATACATTTCTGGCTTCACAGCCTAAGCGTCTTTATATTCAATTTATACCACGTAGTTTGTGATAACATTCACAAAAATAAAACATAAAATACATACTGATGACTATCGTTTATTGCAGCAAATGTTATTACGCAAATATATCTCTTGAATAGGCAATTTCACTCCATTACAGTTTTTATGGCCGAGAATACAGACATATTCTCGTCTTTTCATGGAGTCTTGTTATGGTATACGGCTTGAGTGTTTCGATTTATACCTATACTATTCTGTTTGGCCACCATCTTTTGTAATTTGAAAGAATTGTGTTTTAAAAATAAAATACCAAAACAAAAATCCAAAATAAAAAAACTCTTCAGGTTTATATATTTCTACATATATTTTTAATATGGAGCCGAAAAAGTATGTACACGAGCGATATATACATTGATTATGGAGCGAAATTTTAATAAGGACGTCCCAAAATAAAGACACACGTCGTATGTACACACTCGTTAGCGGCGATTGTCCGAGCCCTTTTGTCATTGTTCCGTTTTCCTTGCACCCTATACGTGAGACCTTTTCGGGTCATTACCTTTAGAGAATGTATTTTTTTATTCGAAGGACCATTTACATGTTAAGTCTATTTTTCTTAGCTACAATGGCGTCTTTTGTTACAAATGTATACCGAGTGTGATAGAGTCGAAATAAAAACATTTTAAATAGCCTAGAATAAACTGATCGCATTTACGGTTCAATGGTTTAACGAATTTCCTAGAATTGCGTGAAGTAGGTCGATTCCTGAGTAAACAAAATATATAGTTCAGAACATGTGGTTCAAGTAAACCACAAGAATTCGCTCAACTAACTTGCCTGTTAACAAACATAGGACACAAAAATGTGTCTGGCTCCTATACGGGACAATCGGTTGTAGGTTCGATCTCCAAGACAACATAATACTTATCAATTTATATTTTTCTGAAAAATATTCGCCTTCGTCTAGAAATCTGAATACCATATACATATAAATATTAATGGTAAGAATATTGAAATTCTTTTTGGTTCTAGAGTTACCGTCATTAAATGAAAAAGGCATGAAGTTTAATCGCGTTTTTGGGTTTCAGTCTATGGATTTCCAAAGCCGAAATAGGTCGCATCTTTTAATGGTATATGGCTGGGGTATCACTTATGATCTAGTAAAGACAATGCTGGTTCTTTATCATCAACAAACCAACAAGTATTAAACAGTACAAATACCGATAAGAGGTTTGTAAGGAAAAACTTTGACTCGAAATATCAGACAAAAGCTCGATACTTAAATAAAACAATTTAACTTTTAAAACGCCATACATTAGTTAAACGTATTTGAAAATGATTTTTAACTTCGGCCCGACGCTTCGGATGCCACGGCTGCTGCAAAGCATCCGAAAGGTCGGGCCGAAGTTAAAAATCATTTTCAAATAAGCTAAACTAATATATCGCGTTTTAAACCGTTAAAGTGTTTTATTTAAATGTGTACTACTCGAATAAACTAAAGACAGTATTAAAAAACTCGATAACTATAATTTTATACCATTATAACATGCATATCGGAAAGTGAGATGAGTTGTAAACATGCTTCCCTCATTACTCTCGCTAAGAACGTGCATTATGCATTAAAACCACGCGGATAATGTTATAACGTAGGAGTCAGCAATGCGGCTACATGTTATACAATATATCGAAAATTCAGTAGTTGTACAATTCGTGTACATACCGTAATTTATATTATAACGATAGCAAGGGAAAACGAAGAGATGGTATTGTCAGTTTTTTTATGATAGAGGTGGACAGAGAAGCGTGGGGTTCTAGGGGGTAATAGGTGAAATCCACATGCCTATAACATCTAAAAAATATTCGCTGTCGACCTGTTTTGGCTTTGGATATTCGGAAATAGGTATTCAGACTGAAACCAAAATGTGATTAAACTTCACGGTTGTTTCATCCGTGCATGGTGGTTCGGACGCGGATGCGAACGAAATGTCGATATTCTTAAGATCCATTTAACATCCAGATTGCCAGACGAAGTCTAACATGTTTTATAATTATAAATTAATTAGAAAAATGTTGGAACCGGCCGGCATCGAGCCCACGACCCGGTGATTATTAACCCTACATTTAAATAAAACACTTTAACGGTTTAAAACGCGATATATTAGTTAAACTTATTTGAAAATGATTTTTAACTTTGACCCGACGTTTCGGATGCTTTGCAGCAGCCGTGGTCACGGGGAGACTGCCCTACATTGCCAAAAAATAATATTAATAATAAAAATAAAATGTTATACTACAGCGATCGCCTCTGTAACTAAATGGTTAAGCGTGTTGCCTAGCATTGAATTAAGTGCGAGAGGTCCTTGGTTCGAATCCCCGGGAAACATTAGATTATGTCCGACAAATAGGGTACAGAAGTCGGATAAACTACTTGCCTATAATTAAAACCGATCAGTGAATACGGTAACGTTTAAATACTAGTGGTTTTGATTGGCAACTTCATTGAACGCAAATAAGTAAAATTAATGAATAAATAAGCCTAAAATAAAGCACTTTTAACGGTTTTTAAAGCGAATTGAAATTAGTTAAGCTTATTTAAATTATTGTAACTATGACCAGACGTTTCGGATGATTTGCAGCAGCCGTGTTCATGAGGTGTAAATATCTCTATGTTATTGTGCTAGTCGCGTAAACTACTGGCAATGTTAAAAATAGTTAGACCAATTTGATTTGGTGGATTTTAAACTGTATGTTTTTTGCTTTTATGTTAATAAATGGGGATATAAGTTATCACGTTTTTAATGATCTAACGTTCTTCATTTCATAGACAAAATATTTGCTTTCTAAGATTGTGTACTTTAGCTAGTTTTCTTCAGCGGCTTACAGAAGTTTTTATCCGCCACTAAGCTCTGCCCAAGCATTCAAATACATCTTGTGTGTTTACAGAGACATAATCTCATTACTGTTTGATAAATCGCATCTGTTATACTCAAACTAACAGAGGGCTTACTAAAAGAGGCTTTATCTATTTGAAGTATATAAAGACTCTTGTTTATAACATATGAAATGGAATCAAGAAAAATGTTCTTGAGTATTTTTGAGTCTGTAATTTACGTGAGTAGTGCAACATTAAATAAAAAGTCTTTTAACGGTTTAAAACGCGAAACATATTAGCTTACTTATTTACAATTTATTTCAAGTTAAAACGGCCACGCTAGCGTCACCTTTTTTTAACACTTTTGATTTTGACATTAGGAACAGCCGTAGTCAAGGGGGTCAGAAGATAGACTTCTATTCCCCCATGACTACGGCTTTTGCAAAATAAGCGAAAAGTCAGACCGGAATTAAAATAAATTGTAAATAAGATATTATATATTAGGGTTATATTAACTATACTAGTAATAAATTTACTAAGGCACAGAGAAATAGGCAAAGTAAAGTTAAAAAAACTGAAACATTACTTGTTATAAATAAATAAAATATGAATATATAAGTCACTATAATATATAAATAAAGTTACTAATAATAAAAATGTATACATAAGTTACTACTTAACATATAAAATAGTCATATTTAATAAAAAATAAGTGAAAATGTATTGTTACAATACGAGCGCCACGAGCTGTTTGGCGATTTTGATATAAATGTGAAAAAAATATCATATATATAATAATAGTTAAATAAAAAAATAATAATTACTAGTAATCTCGTGTTTTTAACCGTTTTAAAGAGTTTTGTTCAAAAAGTTGGAAATAAAGCTTGAACTATAAGATGATGCCAAATGTAAAAGTTTCTAATATGTAACTTCTGTGTACTAGTACGCTTAATGAAAATAATTTAGCAAAAGGTCCAAAAATGTAAATAAAATTCCAAATAAGATCATAGAAAAATGTTGGACGTCAGTGTCACAAAGTCGAGGCACGCAGAGTCGAGCACGGAGAGCAGATTGCCTCTGCAATATTAAAAACAATGTCTCCACCCCCGCCACAGTATACAAAAAAAAAACAGTAGGACCGCCAGAATTTACTGCTTTAATATAGCTCTCATTTAATTGTAACGAAATACCAGCTCTGATAGGATTCCAATGTAATCAATTTTGTAATAAGAACGTAATAAATATCGAAATGTGTCTATCATTAGCAGAATGTAATTCCCTTCACAGATTTAAATGAAATACTTTTACGGTTTAAAACGCGTAATACCTTAGTTAAACTTATTTAAAAAATATATTTTAATTACAGCAGACGATACAAATACATACAAATTAGAAATACATGTAAGTTTCAGTTTCAGTTTGGATTCCCGAATACCCAAAGCCGTTATAGGTCGATAGCGTGTCTTCTTTAAATAATATATGGGTGGGATTATTTCATAGTCTATCAAGTGAAACCCTTGAACGGGTCTCCTTCTCTATCGTAAAAACGTATTTTTTGGCGTTTAGTTTTAGATCATTTAGTTGTTTTGTATTCTGTGGCCAGGCCCTACCCCCTCAAGTTGGCAAACGGTGCCGCTTATTAGTAAAATGTTGCTTTTTATTGCGAGGGTAGCTCAAGAGGTATGATTAGAGAGGTCTTCATTAGCTCAGTTTGAGACTGTTCGTGTAATTAAGTGGACCTAATGTCTATTTAACGTTCCTGTTATTTATTTTTTACGATAAAAATTATGTGCCTTTTCGGTAAAGTCTTCTAACAGGAAATATGTTTACGTCTTTCGTTTGATTGCTAAAAGCTTTTAAGTCTTGTATCAAAGAAATACTTTTTTCTACGGGATCTTATTATTACCTATAATAAAAACCAGTAAATTAAACTTACAATAAAACATTGACCTGTTTTAAACTAGAAATAAATTTACGTGATTTTAATTACAACCAAACTTCAAAAAATATTTTTTTTTTACATTAAAAATCATAACTTTTAAAAAAAATTGACGACATTGGCAGGCCTTCACAACGTTTCTTACTATTTCTCTAACCAGGTGATATATAGTTTCGGTATTGAAAGAGTTCGTAAAAGTAAACATATTATAAATAAATAAGTAAATAAAATAAACATTGGACCTGGTCCTGGCAACCAGCACTAATTTAAATATAATCATAATTAATATCCTTAATGTTAAAATAACAATCCAGGGATTACGTTGACTGGTATTAGGGTATGTAATAAACTTTTCCAACTATATCAACGCTTATTATAATAAATGTTTAAGGGTAGTGTTACGGGTTACAAAAGTGATTACTACCGTATTATATTTTTTTTGATATTCTTATATCGAAGTGAAGTATTTAGAATTTTAATACATTACAGTTCTGCATACAAGGTACGAAAACTAAGTTTTTAAATATATTTATTTAAAGGTATACAAATTTATATAATGGTATGTTTGGGGTGCTAGAACGAATTGTCAATTACATAAAATATTAAAATTTTGGCATCTTGAATTTATGTATTTGTAGTTAGAAGATGAGTTGTAGAAGAATTTTAAGAGATTGAAAAGAAGCTTTTTTCTATGAACATAAATACATTTGCAATTTTAACCATATAAAAAAAATAACTTTGTGAATAAACTACTAAACGGTGACGTCATAATTCACCGTTTGTTAGAGCTGTTTTAAAGAGAGTAGATAGAGGGTATTTTTAAATATTAGGAAGCTTGTAAGCTAGCGGAAAATATTTTTCCCCTGTTTTACTCTTTAAAAGATCGTTTGAAAATACAACATAAGAAATTTGTTGTCTGGGTTATTACCTGGGTTTTATCTCATCCCCCGAGTAAACTTCAAGGAGAAAGTGTTGCGGAAGACCACCATCAAAACCAGCCACGCAGGATACTTCTACCGAATCAGACGTTTGATTCCACAGCGTACAATTCCTTGGTGGGTGTGGCTTACCTAAAAATAACACAAAAATAATATAATATTCCATATTTAAATGTCAGGCAAATTCTTAACCTAGGTTCTAATGAAAACGGATCCCTAGATTCATTTATATTATCATAGGTTTGATTCCAGGAGATACATAAAAACATCAGTTGCGTGTAGAACGTAAGAGAGATCGTTTAGTAACATGGGAAGAAAATCGTAGGTTTGTCTCATATTAGGAATCCAAGAATTTATTAACGGGGACCATAGCTACCTTCAATTACAATGCATGTAGGAAATGGCTTGAAAAAAATCGACAATGACGCGTGTGACACGGTAGCTCAATTAGATAAAGCAGAAGCCGGAATGCTGTGGATGTCGTCAAAGAGCAATGACCAAATCGATTTTTTTTCCAAATATAATATTTTTGAGTCCGTTCTGTTTAAGAATATCGACTTTATCTTCAGATAATGTTTCCGTATAGGGCGGTATTTAGTACATCACTATTTAACACAACACCTACATGTAACTTAAACCCTTTATGATTTGTTACTGGTCGCGAAAAGCTTAAGTCAGGTCCAGTACCTATACAAATTTGGCCGTTGTTCTTTTTTCAACTTAAATAGGTTCTTAATTGAAAAAATAAAATTTTCTATTGATTAAAAAATAAGTGACTTTCAAGTCTTGGCTTAGTCTAGTTAAGAGTGTAAATAGTTATACCTGCTGCCACCATTTGGAAGACACAAGGAGTGAGTTGATTGCCCACTTCGTTAGAAGCTGAACACGACAGAGTGCCATAGTCGAGATCGGCCACTGGAGTATATCTAAACGAAGATAAATGATTGAAATGGCTGCAATTCTTCTCCACTGAACTCTTTGGATTTTATTATACTTATAAATATTTCGCCAACATTATTTCACTGAGTAAAAGAATCAATCCGTTGCGTTATGATAACGTTTTCTTAACTGTTTGTTTGGTATTTAGTTTTTTATTATGATAGAGGAGGACAGATGAGCATAGGATTGATGGTAAGTGAAATATCCCAGCCATTAAACATACAAATAAGTTGCGCTGTCGACCTATCTTGGGTTTGGATATTCGGAAATCAATAGACAGATACGCGATTGAACTTGACGGCGTTTTCATCGGGGACGGTGGTGCGTGGCCCGGGCAGAATGTCAATATTCCCATCACCCATTTCAGATCCAGATTTCCAGACGTCCAACATGTTTCAAAAAATACATAAATTGATTAGAGACATACTGTCTATAGTTTACGCAAGTAGTAAACATTTAAATAAAGCACTTTAACTGTTTAAAACGCGATAACATCGGGCTGAAGTTAAAAATCATTTTCAAATAAGTTTAACTAATATATCGTGTTTTAAACCGTTTTATTTAAATGATTAGAAACATGTTAGACCTAGTGAGGATCGAATCCATGACCCGTTGATTATTAACCACAAATTGCTACCACTACACCAAAGAGCCTATCAAAACGTCCGTATCTTTTTTTATAAATGTTTGCTTTAACCTATTTTGCATTTACTACATTTTTAAGAAATAATTTATTTATTTATTCTGAAAATAAATTCGCCAGCATTAGTTTTTCATTTTATAATGTATTTAAAAAGTACGTACACATACTACTTCCAATATTCTTAAAAAATTGTCTTAAAATCGTAATCGACTGAAAAGTGTAAGTACCAATAAACCTTACTTACTTTAAGCTAGAAGCACTGCCATTGGAAGTGTATCTGTCAGCCGCAACATCTATCGTTTCGCCAGAGTTATTGAACTTCCACTTGAAGACAGCTGCTGGTGGATCAGCGTCAACTTCACACACTATTACTACGGACTCGCCCCGTGCTGCCCCCACTACCGATACTCCAGTTGTACTGCCACTTCTGCACGAGGGAGCATCTGAAAATACAAATATATTATTTAGATCTATACCTAGAAGATACATGAAGAAGTTTACGATAGTAGAATATTTAAGACAAAGATTATTAAAATGTTATCAAACATAGTAGTAGTCATAAAAAAAAACACGTAAAGAAAACAAAATGAAAATGTAAATACATTCTTTGTCTAATATATAATGGTACGTTTGAAAATCAAAAAAAGGATATTTGGCAATGCGAAAAATATAGCGTCAGTTACTGTCGAAGTATAAGTATTTGAAGTAGTAGTTGATTTAAATAAAGAAACTGCAAATAAAAATAAACTTTTTAAACATTTCTCACTTGAATCAAAACGCTCCTGATTGGTCGGGTTTATGATGACGTCACTAGCTTTTAAACAGTGTCTACTAAACAACCGTGCTTCCTGGTGATAAAAGTGTTCTATTCTTTGCATTATTAAATAAATTTGTTACTCATTTAATTCCTTCAATCACAATTAAAATGTAAATATTTGGAAGAAATACATATAGATTGTAGATCATATTATTGATTTACACCAAGAGCCAATTCAAGGTCGTGTCGTCACTAACCGTATTGAAGCGTTATTTCGAAAAATTTGCGTTAACGCGTTTTAATTTACATGTTGAATTTTCAGTTTGATATATTTAAGAAAGTATGTGTCAGAATTTGCAAGTACTACTTTCCTGAGGATTTTTAATATCTACCAAATAATATAAAATACGTTTTTAAAAGCAATCAAATAGCTCATACTGTTGTAACATGCATATGACATAAAAATTGTTTAGGTATGACATTAAAGAGAGATACTTTTTGTAGTAGATATCATAAAAAAATTGCGCGTGTTACCAGCCAAACTTGTTATCATACATTAGACAAAGTATAATCTGTGTTTTCCATATTAAAATTTTCCTTCGTATCAGATAATTGCCGAACTCAATACGGTGTAGATGGTAAAACATTATCGTATTCCAATCGGCTAACCGAACTATATCTGTAATAGTTCGCTTTCTGAAGATTGAAATGGAGACATCGCGATTGAGGTGGGCCAAGATAGATCGAAAACTCGACTGTCCTTCCTTTCACATTACACACGGCGATTTAGCATTTATTCAATACGAAATACGTACTAGTTTAGCGTGCGCGACGTTGACATGTACGTGTTTGGAGTGCTGTACAGCAATTTGATAGAAATGAGGGAAGGTTGAAGTGGAATCGAAGGTGAAATGCATTAAGTGGGTCTGTCCCTTGTAACACGCGACGCTTGAATCGTGGTCAGCGGTTGCTTAGTTACCTACGACTTTATAAATGGGATATTGAAACACATTCCCGCTTTGAAATCATATACGGTTCGAGGGCTACTTGAATTAAGTTATTGGCTATGATTGTATGATGGTGTAATGTATTATGTGACATAAGGGGCGGTTAGATTAGGTTACTTAAGTTACCCTTAAAAATACTTGTCCTATTCTTCCTATCTTAGATTAAAATAAATGTTAAATATTTTCAAGACTATATTATGTTAGTTTCATTAATTTTGTTACAAAAATAAAATCCATTGGCTCTTGATGCTTAAACCTAGAGTAATAACGATAAAACGTTAATACAAGAAAAAGATTATAGAAATGAAGTAATAATAATGTAAAAATGAACGACACAGGAAGAAGTGGAACTAGTGTTTCTCTTTACTAGCAACAGCGTATAGGTATTTTTTAGTATTTTAATATTTTATATGTAATTATGTTTTGGCAATAAATACTTTTATTACTATTATTTGAAGTTTGAAAGTAAGGGCACAATAGTTCGAAAATCTTATCATAGAATTATAAATGAATGATTTTTGATTAAACTTCAGCGATATTGCACTTAAATAATTAAAATGTATTTCATATTAATACAAACACGATATGTGGCTGGGATCTCACATTAATGAAAGTTTATCCGGAAGACAGATGAACTGATGGAGCGTTAAATTATAATTTGAAAGCTGTTTGCTTTCGTATTCATCAGTGAAAAATATTTCTGAGGCCAAGCTTAGAATCGAAATAAACACCTCCAGCCTAAGGTTAGCTAGTAATAGGCGAAAGCTTTCGAAACGAGAGCTATTCTCTAATAAAATCTCATTGTTTTGTGTAAAATACTTTCTTTGCTTTTATTCAACGATGAACAAGGAAATGCACTCGCTTGATTGTGTTCGTTCGTTTGTATTATGAAACAGCTTACTATTATTTGCAGTTGAGAATTTTTTTTAACACACAGTTATTAGTAATAAGTATTGGTGGGTTATGTTAACCTGTTCTTACCATATCTTATTACGTTACTTTATTTTTTTTCTTTAGCCATTCCTAATTATTGTGTCGAATCTAAGCATAATCCTTAAAATAATATGCGCAAATTGGTTATGTTTATCCAAGCAACGCTTAAAGCCAGACTGTGCTCATTAGTTTTATTACGAGAAATATTGTTTACAGAGACAAAGGTTTAAGCAAAATATAGTGAACCAAATTATATGTGATTTGAGTAACTGTCTTTGTTCTATAGACTATATTCAAATCTTTAGGTAGTGAAATAAAATCAAATGTTTATTTTCTTCCTTTAATAGTCTATTTGTAAAATAAGCGTCAGATACGTGTGGGTAAATAAAATTAGGTATCCTTTGTAGTTTACGAGAGTAGTAAACATTTAATTTAAATATTTAACTTACTTAATGGTTTAATACGCGAAATACATTTTTTATCTAAAATATCTATCCGTTATCCGTTACTTTTTTAAAACTGTGTAACTATCAAAATCTCTCTTCTAGACTAATATCTGAAATAATATTGTCGAGCACTTGACTTATAATTATAGCGCAATTTAATAAAGATTTCAAATTCTAACAAAAGTCTGCAGTCACAACAAGAATTCGTTCCAAAACAATTTTCTTGTGGAGGTGGAATTTATTACATTTTCAGTCATGGACCCATTAAAAATTCCCATCTTGTATCGTCCCATTTTGCGAATGGAGGGTGAGAGGCTTCATATTTTACGACCCAATATTGTAATGTGAGTTTAACAACATATATACTTTGTAAATTATCAATAAAACAGAGTATTTGTTTTCATTATTGCTAGAATTACTAAGATTTTTAATACAAATTAATGTACAAAAAATTTTGCACTAGCCACATTTCTCTTAAAATTCTATTAAAGTATTTAAATAAAGACTTATTTGACATAAAAGTACATATCTAGTTTAAAATCTTGTGATCTGTATACCGTGTTTATTTTTACACATGCATTTTAAATAACATGTGAATCAACACATTAAGAAAGTTTTAAATAAACTAGTATTAACAATAGCTTCTCCACTACAGCTTAGATTTTTTAAGGCGAATCATTTCTTAAATGGCTTATTAGAAATTTGACAAGCTGATTTATTCCATAATAATATTGTATGAATATTAATTACAAAACAAGCCCAACATGTTACATTTATGTATAAATTGGTTTGATCTAAAATGGCTTATAGAGCCCATTTTTGACCAACCTTGAAAAATCTAGGCATTATTAAATTAGTATTTGTTATTCAAAAATCCGAGTGTTTCCGAGTGTCTTCAGTCAAAAAAGATCGATAGCGCATCTTAACTAACTACCTTGCGTTCAAATTTACACGACCCCTCTGTCGTTAAAAAAATATTTTGTAATATTTGTTCTAACAAGGTTTACCAGTAAAAAGGCTCTCTCGATTACTACAATAGGAATGGAAATTAATGCGAATACATTTGTTACGCAGCTACTTTCAAGATTGAAACCGCCCACACATTTCATCAGCCTAATTAGTACGCCGAATTACAAGTTGAAATTCCAATCAATGCAATAGTACTGTTTAGATTCCAGGATTTAATTAAGTCTGTACCTAAATTGCGGGACAAATAAAGGCTACGTGGAAGGTGTACCAAATATTAATTATGTTTGCGTATAGCTCTGGACATAATTGTATTAGTTGGTTGCTTGCAAAATAGTACTGAAGTAATCATCGATAGGGACATGATATTAGACCCATAACAACTAAGAAGCCATACAAGCATTGTGGGTGGTTTACGCGAGTAGTGCTCATTAAAAAGACACTGTTAACGGTTTAAAACGCGAAATATATGAGTCAACTTATTCTTCATTTATTTTAACTTCGGCCCTAAGTTTCAAAAGCTATGCAGCAGCCGTGGTCACGGGGGACTGAATTGTCAAAATCAGCTACGCTAGTGCCACCGTATCGATACAGTTAAAATAAATTAAAAATAGTTAACTAACATATTTCGCGTTTTACCCTTAACAGTGTTCTATTCAAAGTAATTTAATTTAAAATTAGAAGTTTAGGAATATTGAATAGTTGCCGTCCATTGCAAATTTCAAGTGTCAACATTTATTTTGTATTATTTATAATTATCAATATTTTGATTTGAATGCTTGCTTAGCCCGGTTTTATTTCTGGGGATACACAATAGTGTGTCCGTTTTAAGTCTTAGTATTCTTGCGTGCGTTCTTTGGTCCGCCATTTCAAATAACTAACTAGTAATAATCATTAACAGTGGCAATCATTCTAGAAGGGCCGTGTGTTAATTTCTGCAGCGTGTCCATTATTAATTAATTCTGAGATTCACGCCTCCGTATTGTTCGTTCGCGCCAATTGTTTCCAATGAGCCCCGAGTTTGAAATGAACCGAGCTTTTTCTATTCAAAACAGGCCTTGGCAGGAATAAAATTCCACGATTGTGCCCGCGACTGCGTCGGAACGTATTCATGTTCAGAAATTTTCGAAATATTCCGACGTTTAAGATAGTGCATCAAATAAAACGGGTTTCAGTATGAAATTCGGAGCAGCTGTAAATCATTACGCGTGATGTATGGCTTGTCGGGCCTTGTAGTATGAAAATACTTATTATCACGCTATAGAAATAAGGTTGAAAGCTTTTTAAGAATATGCAAAAGTGTGGCTCAGATGTAATCGTGTAACATTGAAACTCGTTTTCCTAATGTGACAAAAACTAATCTAGGTCTATACTTCTTAATATAATTTATAAGTAGTTTATCTGGCGTCTGACTTTTTATGACACACCTAGACAGAGTAGCTTGGAGTTCACTTAATGATTGGTGAAATAGCCTTGCCATATACAGGACTGCTCGATTCATTTCAATGTTGAGTCATGAAGACGTTCAATATGTAATCATATACGCTTTTACTAAAATACAGTTTTACTTTAGTGTGAGTGAAATCCCGATTTTATCTACAGGCAAGTAGTTTGTCAGAATGTTGTGCCCTGTTCGACAAATAAAAAATACTGTTTCCCCTGAATTCGAACCTGAGAATGCGTTTAATGTTAAGCTACACAGGCGACTATTTAAGCAAGGTATATAATTTCAGCGTCCTGAAATTCTATGTAAAGCGAATACTTATCTGTTTTACTTACATTTAACCCTAAAATGTAGTTCGTTTGACACGGTCTCGCCTTCAGCATTGAGGGCAGAGCAGGCGTATCTACCACTGCTATATCTCGTGACTTTCTGTAAGACCAGACTCTGGTTACTGTGGAAAACTCTCGCTGTAGCGTTATGAACGAGTGGCCGGTCCTGAAACAAATGAATGAATTACTTAATCCATGGCCGATAAGCAAAAAACTATTAAATCATATCAAAAGGACTCAAACCTACGTATTTAGTTATTCGTACTTATCCTATATTATTAGATAAGTGTTCAAAAACAAGTGAACTGGCATTAAGTATTATTTGTAGTTCAAGCAAATAGCGCACATTGAAACAAAACACTTTTCACACACACAACAAAGCAGCTTTTTCTTGTTTAAACCCGATAAAGATGTTTTATGTAAATAGTTACATGCCACTGGCGTAAACTACAGATAATACAAACACTTTTTAAAACTCTTTACTTTCATGCATTTTTAAAATACTTACTCAGTTGTTGTTTATTATCAACGTGCTATAAAGATAGATATATCGTATCCCTTCAAACACCAGCCCTTATCTCTACTAATAATAATTAGAAGTCTTTTGTTAAAAATAATCAGCGCTTTACAGCATCTCTCCCTTCAAGCACCTATTGTAGAGGCCCAGGTAATAGCTGCTCTTTTGTATACGTAATCATATTCCTCTCACTCCCTTTCATTTTAGTACTTGTTAGGGATTTCATACTATCCTTGTTGGGCTTTGAACGTGAAGATGTGGCTCAATTATGTACGCTGATTAAATAAATGACGGCGACGGATGAACAATGTTCACAATTTTTTAATGAATTTTATTTAAAAAATCAGAACATTTTAATTATAAATAAAACATTTTTTAAATAAACAGATTTTGACAATTAACAATAATCTTTATTATCAAAAGGTTACTTTTGAGAAATAAATTATCAGACATGGACATGACATGAAACACGGCGGCCATGTTGCTTTTAAAAGTTTTATGAATTTACGCTACAGTACTGTCAGTTTTGTGGTGATTCGTCCTAGAATAAAACAAATTTGTAAACCACAATACAACAACAAATTCATCAATTACATGAGAGGGGTAGCCCTAGACTAGTAAAGGAAAAGAAAAAGAACCCAGGACTATTAGTGGACGTTGCTAGGCAACGCTTTCACGATGATTACAGACTCAATCCGAAAAAGATAAGAGCTAATATCATGAAAATATCACTTTACATAGGATAATTAATATCTCACTCACATGTAATTAATACTAAGCATATGATATTCTTTCTACTTATAATTAAAGCCCAATTACTTCGATAACCATTTAAGAAAAATAAACAAACCCTAATTAGTATTATATAGGTATCAGTGTGAGAAAATTTGTGGATCCAAACGCAATAAATCATAACTCCTCCGAGCGTTGCTTATAATATTCCGTAAGATATAAGACCATGTATTATTCCTATTTGTTTTTGTTGATATTTCACTAAAATGTTGTGATTCGTATATTCCGTAAGGATGTTTGTGCAAGATCAATTTCCTAAATGTATCTAGTTATATGTAGTGACCTTCCTAAACCACTAAATAAAAAATATGTTGGTAATATATTTAAGACAGTTTATAAAGCGCTGTACATTTAAAACTGTTTACTAGTGTCTTATTGTACGAGTAAACTACATACAGGTGTGAATTATTATAAATTATTCTGGTAGCTCGTCGAGAAAATTAAAAAAAATATTAATATCAATGTCGACATAAAATTTTGAAAACCTAATCCAGTCGTAAAATGTAATAAGCAGAAGGTATTCTGTGCTCAAGCTCTTTAGCCAGTGATACGAGTGCCATGAGTGGAATTTAATTTGACGAACCTTCTCAGACGACCTTGGCCAAGTTTACAGACGGCGAAGTTAGAATTCCCTTAACGCTTTGTAGGTACACATTTTTAAGTCAGACGAACTACGTAGTCATTTTCTTTAAGTCTTAAAAATGTAAGCGATTCGCGTTGGTTTTCTTAGAAAGTCGCTACGAGCCAAATTTCTGGTAATTTTTAATAATTCCGAAGATATATATGAGGCTGCTAGAGTCAGAGTGGCCTAATAAAAAAAATAATAATAAGTAGTAAAATAAAAATGCACAATAACTTAGGCGAAAATGTATTTGTACTATTATTTGTGTTACAATTATGTTAACAATTTTCGGTCACTGTGCTCTTGTAGATTAACTTTTTTAGACTATGTAAATATAAATAACTCAAGTCATAACATTGCGTTAGGCTACTCTACCTCTAGCGGCCTATTATGTTAAGATTTAATTATCGGTGCCAACGGTTCTAAGAATATGGTGGCAAAACATAATTGTCTTTTTATTTGAAGCTGTCAGAAAAAGAACATCACTTCATCAGGAATTTTCCGATCAGTGAATCAATTTAGCGTGAAAGGAGTGTAAATTGGATCGTGGAATGAGTGTCTATTATGACGGTTACCGGGTATTACAGAGATCAGAGAAACCGCGGGGTTTCCGCGTGGGATACCGTTTAGAAATAGCCTTCAGAGATTCTTATATTAATTGTATAATCTGCTGGTGTTTCTTATACTAGATAGAATTCACGATGCTGTGTAGCCGTGTTGTAAGAAATTATCTTATCTATTTAAATCTTAATATTTATTTATTTTATTTAGTTATTATACTTAGTAAGGTACATGTCGAAACTTGTGAAAGATTCTCCGACATACATATAGCTATAGATACATTTAAGTGATCATAAAAATTCTGTGATATTTTAATCAGTACTTGCGGAAGCTACAGACAACATTTTATCTTTATCTTTTTGTTACTTTATATATTTACTATTTAAAAACCTAGGGAGGATACAATTTGATGTTCATTTGAAAGAAATGCAAATGCCTCAGGTTTATAACATGTAATTATGGTGCAGTTCTAGGCTATTTTGGCTTTTAACGTTTTAACAAGAAAGAGGGTAAGAACGTTTTCTCCATAAAGTTAAGATATCGCAATGAAATATACACTTCAAAGCTATAAATCTGGGTCTCTTAAAGACCCATACATAAACATTAGTGCATGAATTTAAGCAAAATCATTTTTCTGTAAAAACTTGTTGTTATGTTATAAATCTTATTGTTATGAAAATGCTTTGTTTTTCAACCTAGGATAGCACTATTTTTATTTTTTTATTCTCTTCATTACAGTTATATATATATTGTCTATATAAATAAACGCATTTTTATTATATTAACATGATAACTAAATTGAAATAAATTGTCACATGTTATACTAAACACATACATGTACTAAAATGTCAGCACAATACGATTTTTGTAAGCAGACATCAAGTATTACATGAAACCTTACAAATTACATTTTGAGCGTAAGATAAACATTGTAATATAATTATGTCTGTCTGTTTACGAGATCCAAAGACTGGTAATGTAAGTAATGGACTGACACGTTATAAATATGTTTTCGAGCAACCTAATTCTGACAAGACATGTATATATCTCTAAAAGATACACAGTGATCTTAGTCTCGTTTGCTAAGTGTATGAGGTATATATATTATTGCTGTTACTATAAATTGTATTGATATTTTGTGGAACGACGCCATCCGAAGCTTTGGGCTCGATGGGTTTTAAAAACTGACTGTAGTCTCCCCGGCTGTTGCAAAGCATCCTAAACCTTGGGTTGTAGTTAAAAATAATTTTCAAACAAGTTTAACTAAAATATAGCGTTTTAAACCGTTAAAGTATTTTATTTCAATTGGATGGGTTTTTATTAAGGCTGAAGATTGCAGGAAGTGTGTATAAACGTATACGTATATTTTGTTTTATACTGATTGTTTCGGATGCTTTTCAGCAGCCGTGGTCACGGGGACACTAAAGATGGAGAGTGTCTCTGACGTCAAGGTATTCTAAACGTCGAGCCACAGTTTAAAAAATTCTCAAATAAGTTTAAATAATATATATATATCGCGTTTTAAATCGTTAAAGTGTTTTATTTGAATTTTGTTTTATGTATTATTATAATAACCTATCTTTTGAGGCAAACTAATTAAGTTAAATTAGTAACATTCAGAGACTCTCTTACTTAGTAAGACAGTTTCCAAATGTGTACTTAACATTTTTCTCTAAATATATGCGCAAGATTGGCGTTAATTGAGCTTTACCGTTAATTCAAGTCGCAAACATGGGGCGACCAAGACAAGTTCATTTAAATTACATAAGAAGTTTACAGCTAAAGACGATGACTATGTCTTGGTTGTGGCTTTAGCGAAAAATCTATTTTCGATCCATGCAAATTATAAGCTTCTCATATTACTTAAATTTATACGACTTAACTTTCTGGGTATGTTTGATAAAACTAGTAGTTTTCTATTTTATTAATAATATAATACGGTAAGAAACCAACAATTCACGATTTTTTAATCTCGAAATACGATAAGAGAGTGATCGCAATCCCAAAGAAACGGGCTGGTATGTTTAATGGTTGCAATGTATGTTTAATACATCGGGTTTTCTTGTGTCCTCACCTTGTCCAAGATGTTTCTTCTCAAATTATAATTTAACTGAAACATTTTGTACTTCGTCTTGAATTCTGGATATACAATGAGTGGAAGGAATATCGAAGATTTCGCCCAAATCGACGTCCATTGATGAATAAGCGGTGAAGTTTTCATTTCGGCTTCAGTCTGTGGGTATCTGAATATCTAAGGCGAAAATAAGTCGATGGGGCATCTTGTTGAGATGTTATACGCTGGAGTACTTCACCTTTCATCAAGTAAACCCCGTGCTTGTCCTCATCTATCATTTAAAATAAGTGTGTAATCGTAAATAAAATGTCATCGTTAATAAAATCGATTAGTGACACAGATGAGTATGTGCCAGTGCCTCATATTATAGCACAAACAAACTGACAATTCAGTTCCATTTTCACTTAATTACTTTGCCTCAAAAGGTAGGTTATAAGCAGAAGTTATCCGGAATATAACTAAAAGCTATCTCGAGTGAAGTCATAAAGTTACCGGCGTAATTAGGGTCGACAGTGGGCTGAATACGAAAGTATTCATGTGAAAACCCTGACATTTTTTAGAATACATTGTTTCCGTTTAATGCATTAGTAAAAAATATCA